GATCCAACTAGACCTTGTCAGTGGTGTTATGTGTGCGCTGTAAATGACACAGCTAATAACTGCTCAGTAATAAGTAATTTGAACTTTTGCAGATGACGCGTGAACAATATCGTGTTCTTGTAACCGAGAGTGTATGTAAAGGCTGCTGCATGACGAAGGCGCAGTGGCGATATTAATTGAGCGAGCGCGAACGCGCCGCGCGCGTATCCTCACCGTTATGGATCCCGCACCTCATGCGCTCTGCGGCTAATAAAGCCGCGTTCGCGCCCGAAGATATTGCGCCTTCGTCATGCAGCAGCCTATATATGTATATTTATGACACCTCCTTTGCCTTTTCTTCAAAACGATTTTCAGTTTGGCATCTGCCACCTTCGTGCCGGGCGCTAATTACAACCAGGGCTCGGCACAGGTGGCTTACAAGCAAGCTGGATATCGTTTTTGGGACGAAAAGCAAAGGGGGTTTCGTTTTTGTGAAGAAGACATACGGAAAATTGACGACGGCGACCTTTTTTTTTTAGTCGACGTTTCGTTTTTTGGGGGATTTTCGGGAATTTTCAGGTTTTTAGAAGAAATTTGGTTCAGGGTCAAAGGGGACTTCGTAAAAATTCCCAAAAGTCAAGGGGGACTTCATTTTTTCCATTTTCATCTAGCCACCTCGTGCCGAGCCCTGATTACAACATGTGCTTCTACATGTTGTAATCAGGGCTGTAATCGCTCCCTCAGAAATGTACAGCAGGGTAATGAATAGAATGAGGTAGTTGTACATTTCCAGCAAATCTCTTCATCGTATAAATCAAGTGAACAGCCGATTTGAAGTTTACAAATAGTTGCATCTGCAGAAGTTTCAGGTGTTCAAGTATGTTAGCATTTTTAGAAGGTCTTTGTAGTTCTTTAGAAACACTGCTGACAAAAAAATTAGAAAAGCTTTCTTTTACAGCTTTCTTTTTTTTTTGTATTTCTGCAACAAACGAAAAATAGTCTACGACACCCGCCCCGATGTCTAATGTGCAAATGTTGGCCAGAACAGTTTGAAAATGACTTTTCTGTTGAGAACACCTATAGGCACACAGATTTACATACAAACAAACAGACACTCAACTTTATCTGTTCCATAAGTCTTGCGCCAATTCAGATTCGCAACAAAACATTTCTTCTACATTTTTAATAGGTTCCGAATATTGTTCTATACAGCAAAACAAGTTTCAAATAATGGTTTTCAAACATTCGCAGCATCTTAATATAGGCGAGTTGAGTTTTTATAAGAGAAGCAAAGGAAACAACTCATAAGTCCATCTAAAAAAGTCCTACGAAGCGCCACTTACCCAAGCTTATACATTCTAATTAGCACAATCACACAAAAAGTCGCTGTATGTTTACGACATTAAGAATACGAACGAGCCTTGCAGAGCTATTTTCAAGAAATACTTGTATGCTACAATCCTTTCGAAGTAGTTAGTAGTCGAGAAACTTGGAATTTCGCTGCCCCTATCCCTATGGTTTCCCCATGCAAAATGCAGTACTTTAATGGAAACTAGCCTCATGTGGGCAATTGGAAGTTCACGCTGCGAGATTGCCGCAGTTAATTAAAAGAAGAGTCAAAAGGTGCTGTGCACAGTTACTAATGGGGACAGCGCAGCATTACTCGGACGAAAGCACAAATTTTCTCTAATCTAACGAAGAAAAAACAATTGTATATACGAATGTCTAATGTAGGATGTGTATGCTTGGCAGAGTAGAAGTAGAATGGGCAGAGTTATGATTTTCGTTTTTTCAAGCATTTAGGTCATTTCGGTTATTAGCTTCAAATTTTGCGTGCAACAAACTTCCTGCGAATGTTAGCGTGCTATCTTGTACAACTTGCTTTGCTCTATCCAATATGATGGAATTTATTTAAAATGCACGAAAAGCATGTCTTACAAATCTCACTTATGTCCATGTCGTTACTAAGTAATTCAGCGCAGGAATTTTGAATTACTCCAATATAAGATGGCCGTACGGACTGGACATCACTACGGAGCACGCGCCGCGAGGTAAGACGCTTGCCCCAGTACAAATTCGCCATTGTATAAAATGTGCTCTCGTAACATTTTAGCAGCGCCGCGCGTGGTGCGCAGCGCTGGAGCAGTCCGTGCGGTCAACGAATCAACGATTCATTAAAGCTGATTTATTGCAAAGGGTTAATTAGAAAACCAGAAAATTGAATACAACTATCTTCATTATAATGAAATGCGATGTACAGTTGCAAGGCATCAAAGCATTTTTGAATGTTGTGAGGAAAAAATATTAGGTATGTGCAAAAGTTCGTTCGCCAGTTTTCTAAAAAATCATAAATACTTTAGTCTCAATTGATTTCTTTAAAAATATATCTATTTGAAGGAAGAAATCATTCTCTTTACAACAGTACCTTTGCCATGAATTGGCATCAAAAAGTTCGAAAGTTAAAAGCAATTGAAGGAAAGTACTCAAGATTGGCGTTTTCAAACAGGGTCACGAAAAATTCTGTAAGTATTTTTATGTGATTGAAAAAATTATGCTTTTTACTATAGTGTTTTTCTCATGAATTAAAGCGAGAAAGATCAAGAGGTAGAAGCAAATAAAGAGAATCATTTCAGTTTGCAATTTTTGAGCAAGCTCAAAAAAGCCTAAAAATTTTACAGAAAAGACGTAAAGTCATGAATAAGGGTTTTGTAACCTTCTCTTTCTAGCTAAGCGAGTTTCGAGCTGATCGAGAACGATTTCAATTCTCGTGATTTTTTCAGATTTTCGGGTCTGTGTTTTTCATGAAGATAAAATTGCTTTTGATCAGCTCGAAACTCGCTCAGCTAGAATAAGAAGGTCACAAAACCTTTCATGTTCCCATGTTTTCGGTGACGTTTCTAGGCTTTTTTGAGCATGCTCAAAATTTGCAAAGTTGAAGCAATTCTCTTAACTGCTTCTGACTCTCGACCTTTCTCGCTTTAGTTTATGAGGGAGGCACTATAGTAAAGAGCATAATTTTCTCTATCATACAAGAATACTTACAGAATTTTTCGTGACCCTGCTTGAAAAATGCCATTCTAGAGTACTTTTCTTCAATTGCTTTCAACTTTTAAACTTTTCCATGTCAATTCACGCAAAGGTACTTTTGTAAAGAGAAGGGTATTCTCTTTTGAATGAGTAAAAAATCAAAGAGATTCATCGAAGCGGAAGGAAGTTACGATTTTTTAAAAACTGGCGAATGAACTTTTGCACTCACCTACTAATTACAAATTTTGTGCTTTTTCAAAATTAACACAGTTGCAAACCAGAGATAATGGGAACGATTGCAGGTATGTGGCTCTGCAAGATCGTGAAGGACGTGTGAGCTGCCGACATTTCTCACACATTACGCCACAAGGCCCTAAAAACGCTTCAACAGACAAGATCATCCCCTCCGCACTTCTTCAAATCGCTTTCAGTACTCAAAAGCTAACATCTAATGGGAGAAAAGCTTGGGAAAATCAAAAAAAATTCTGTCGGGTTTCGCGTAAGCAGGCCTTGGCACGAGCTGGCATCAGGGAAATTTCAAAACGAAGTCCCGTTTGATCTTGAAAATTTCGTACGAAGTCCCCTTTGACCTGTTTCGAAGACCCGTCATTATTTCTAGACTATGTAAAACCACGTAGTAGGGTTTTCTTGCATGCTGATTTCATGGAACAGCTTTTTACAGCTTTCTGAGCTTTTTACATGGTTGAATTACATGTGGAGAAGCAGGAAAAGCCGATTTTTTGATGCAGAGCAGAGCGATTTTCAGATGGCTATAAAACGCTGAAAAGAAAACATTATAAAATTGTTTCTTCTCTGTATGTAAACTTTGACGGTGTAGATACGTTCTATGTAAAAAAGTATGAAAACTTATGTGAGCAAAGTGTCGGTGCCAGCTCAGCTGGCATCCAGCTGGCACGGTGCCAGCTAATTCAGAAAAAAGTTCAGCACAGCTTTCATTCACATAAGTTTTAAAAAATTTTAGGTCATAGTTCGGGTCCCGCAATGCGCATGCACACACCAAATTTGGTGTCATACTATTACGTTTTGACTGAAAACAACGCCTTTGTTTGTTTGATGGACAGCATGCCGGTGGCATGTCGGTGGCATTCTTGCGGATCTTCTCCGCCCGGATGCGGAAAAACGATATCTCCTTTGCTTTTGCCCTAAAAACGATATTCAGGTTGACCCGGTGCCAGCTGTGCCGAGCACTGCGCGTGAGCAATGGTTGCCAGCTCACGTACTTTTGGGTACCCATCATACTTCGCCGAAAACAGCTCAAAAAGCCCAAAAAGGCCCAGAAACCCCAAAAAAGTTCAAAAGCGCCAAAAATCGCTTGCTTTTAGTAGACTTCTGACATTATTTTGATGTGTAGATGACAGAACATGAAGCAAAAAGACTAGGTTGACGACATACATACCTTAGCGTAGAAGCTGGCGCGCAAAAGGAGGCGTTCCGGCTCTTTCTGGCGCCTTCGGGCTGTTTTGGGACTTTTTGGCAGCTGTTAGGTTTTTTCGGCGAAGTATGAAGGGTTTCTACGATACAGCCCTCACCTTACTAATGCCGAGTGAAATTGTTAGCGAGCGATATTTTACATTGCTTGCATTCATAGAGTACTGTCGCTCCTCGTGCCCTTACGACATTTTACAGTATGTGTCGATTAGTACTCACCTTTCGCGTAGAGGTAGGCATCCTCCGCGCGAGGGCCTTGTGTGCGGACCTCCAATCGAGAAAGCCAATTCGAAAGTTTTGGCCATATGCGCGCGAAGCCTTGGCGTAGCGATTGCGTTTGCGAAAAAAAAAGCCCTGATTGACACTGACTTCTCCACGGTGCACATGCATATGGCCAATCACGCTTGCACATGACGCGTTATATTGAAAATCCCATTGAACGAAGCCACGATTGAGCAATCTCATTCTTCTACTCCATTCGAAAATGTATTTGCGTAAGTTCGCTGGAGTATAAAAGCTCTTGTTGAGGTTATATTCATCGGAATATGTTGCTCTGCTTTCTCCTTTCTGTAAGTGGGCATTTTGAGAGATTTTCGGTAATGATTGCCTTTTTCAGCTGTTGCCAACCTATACCCAAGGTGCTTGGGGGCTAGAAAATTGTGACACTGATGTATGGAAAAGAACTATCTTGGAAGGTATCGAATCTGTATGTCAAAGAAAAATGAAACTGGTAAGTCTAAATTTTCAGCTTCGGATCTCATTGAAAAAATCCGCCTTGTCGATGGCATGGTTTGAAGGAATCCAAACAAATCTGGACACTGCCTTCAAATCAATATTGCGTTAGAGTATTGCAGATCAAATGACCTCTTAACTTTCCCATACTCCGCCTAGTAAACCAACTAAGAATTCGATTCTGCTATAAGAATCATGCATTTTTTGCCTGGAAACGGATGAGGGGTCCTAACTAAAACACTGCAACCGGCAGCGCAAATGATTCATTCACGGCTGAGAAATCTATCTCCAAACCCTTTACTACACCGTGACCGTAACCCAAGACGACTTCGCTCACATTAACACTACGTTCGCTTTCAGCCGTGAATGAATTTTTTGCGCTGCCGTTTGGACAATGCTTAGATAGGACCCCCTCATCGGTTTCCAGGTATAAACGCATGCGTCAGATTTGCCTAGGCACTGCCTTTGAATCGAATTTGCAGAGTCTATTCCATCCGAACGTTTCCTGCCTGCTGAATATTGAAGAAAAACATGAAAAGGCTTTCGAAAAGACTAAATGGATATACAGTGACCCCTAAAAAGTTGCAAACAAGAACCCCTTCTTTTTCGTCATCTACTTTTGATGGAAACACACAGATGAAAAGATCTGATTGCACAAGATGATAGAGCTTTTCAAAGTTGGAATCCACACATACGCTTTTTGGAAAACATGGATTTTAAAAAGTTAAAAAAATTTTTTTTATCAAAAACACATAACCTTATCTGCACCTCGCCACTGACATGTGCCGCTTTCCAGCCTCGTAGCTCAGCTAGCAGTCATTCTAAAAACTTCTATGCAGATTTTTTCGAAAGAGCGAGACTTCCTCAACACGAATATGCAAAATGGTAAATTCAAGAATTCCATGACATAGAATGGGTTGAAAAAGCGCAGCTGCAGTGATGATTGAAACGAAGGCTCTTATCTACTCCAAAACAATTTCAGACAGATTCGGCACAGGTGGCACCGATCAAGCCGAGTATCATTCTCGGGACAAAAAGCAAAAGGGATATCGTTTTTGTGGCCAAGAAGACAAAAATTGCGAGTTTCGTTTTTCTTGAGGTGCTTTTACGTTTAGGATTCGGGGTCAAAAGAGACTTCGTTTTGAAATTTCCCTGGTGCCAGCTCGTGCCTTAGTCAGAACTTCGAAACTGCATCATTACTACAAAATTGTCACTTCTAAACTTCCATGATAAAAATGGTACCGAAAGGAGCTTTATTTAATCTTATCTGGAAATTCTCAAGCCCACCATTAAAACTGTACTGTATCCCAAACTCAAAATTCCCAGGGATTATTGAACCTACCTCCTTTGAGTATTGTTGCGTAGAGAGAGTTTCGCCCTTTTGAAAGAGCCTACTTATGTTAGAGGTTTCCAGAGTGACTGCTAACGAGCTTGAAGTCTGGAAACGGCACAAATCAGTGGTGAGGTACAGTTGCGGGCAAGTGCACACATTACCAAAAGCCATTTCCAGCAAAGTAAAGGCTACTGCATGACGAAGGCGCAATAGCAGCATTAGTTGAGCGGGCGCGAACTCGGCGCGCGCTTATCTTCACCGTTGTAAATCCTGCACTTCATATGCTCTGCGGGTAATAAAGCCGCGTTTGCGCCCAAGGGTATTGCGCCTTCGTCATGCAGCAGCCTTTAACTCATCAGCACGTGTCCGATGCAAAGAGAATGGTAAAAAGCATCCATTCCATTCAGACAGCTTTGCTAGAATGTCTGAACCGACCATGTGAAAAAATTTGGCGAAAGAAGGAGTTAGAAGTTTTTTTAAATGATAAAATTCAAACGGATGTAACTATGACGTTGCAGTTCTTCCCTGATGAGCCCTATACAATAGTTTGCTTACCTGTTCGGATTACGTGTGTTTTAGCTTCAAAAACCAAAAAAAGATCTCGCGTTCCAAGAATTGTTGTCCGGGGCATTGTGAGGCGGCCTATTTTAGACTTTTTTGATAAAAAATTTTTAAACTCTTTAAAATCCATGTTTTTCAAAGAGCGTAATGTGTAGACTGTAGCTCTTGTAAAGGTCTATCACCTATGCAATCAGATCATTTTTTCAACATTATTTTTCATATATAAATGATCGATGAATGAAGGAGAGTGGCTTTTCACCAACTTTTTGGCGGTCACTGTATTTATAAGATAAGCGGCTCACCGATCGGTCTTAAGGATTTTTCAGTTAATTTTAAGAACTTCATTTTAGTACTACGATTCGAACCGGCTTAAATTCCTCAGACAAAATGCGTATGGGCAGAACGATCGCAAGCAAAATATATACTGTACAAAATTTGATCCGTTAGTTATGACAGGAAGTTGGATTTTGTCGACTTCCTTTCACGAAGTTTAATTTCAGCAAGAAATTGAAAGATGGTGCTGTAAGTCTTGTCTATGCAGTCCTGTTGGAGGTTGGATACGAGCTTGGGCTAATAAGCGCCTGTGAGGTAAGATAACATAGCAAAACATCAAATGAGGGATCAATGTACAAGAGGGTATGTGTGTAAGCGCAAAAGTAAGCTATGACAGCATGTATAATATTCCTGCTACTACCTGTGGGATGAACAATGGCAAGGGACAAATAACTATTATAGTATTCCAGTACTAAAAAGAATTTTGCAGGCTATGGAGAGGAAACCACATTACGGATGTGTAGACTACTGGGGTGGTTGGTTGAGAAACAAGCCATACCTCTGCTGCGGATTCTATGCTAATCCCAAATCCAATTAGGACTATGCAAAAATGTAATCTTAACAAGAGCTTCTTGAGATTACTTTTTTCATCTTTTTCCAATTTTTCCTTTTTTCAAAATTTTTCCAGTGCATGATTTTTGTCGATTGGCGTCTTCTAGATTTTTTAAGCGAGTGATTCAAATTGTCATTTCGTGGGCTTATTTTCTGTATGAAATTTTGATTTCAGTAAAATGCCAGCTTTTTAACCTGCTTTTATTGCATTATCTACCAAATCTAAATTCCTAAATTTTTTTGTCTATCTAAGATTACAAACAGCAGAAGCTATAGGACTTATCAATTCCACAATGGTGTACGGCCACTGACGTCGACTAAAAAAACGTCGCAATTTTTTGCGTCTTTCTGGCCAGAGCGATATCCCGAGAATAGGTCGCAAAATTTTTGAAAGTTACCTAAATGTGTCATAAAAATGTGCCAAAGAACTTGTTTTTACTTGCAAATGGTTAGAATAATGTTTAAAAATTCAAATTAGCCTTGTAAAAAAATTTTTTTCGACGGCATGTTGGGTTACGGGCGGAAAAATTTTGGAAAGCATCGCAAAAAAATTTTCGGAGTGCGTGGCTAACACCACGCATCTTCATACGAAAAAGTTTTTTGCCCTCCCCCCCCCCCCCGGAGCGGATAATCCTGAGTACGACTAATCGACGTCGCTTCCCTCATGATAGTCGTGGAGATGAGACGTTTTCAGTCTCTGGTCACGCTTTTGAACCATGAACGCAAATCCTATGCAGGAACTGCATAGGATCTCCTTTCATGGTTCAAAACGTGCCAACTTGTGCTTTATGCGCGCTCATGTCTTCCCAGTTTCCTAAACGACAAATGATGTTAAGTTTTTGCAATTCCGAATAAAAATTGAGAAAAAATGCTGCAGATTTTTGTCTCCTATTCTGATTCAGTTCTGAACAGGTGAGGCACAGTATTGAGTGTCATATGCATACACAAGTGGAGAGAAAAAGGTGCAAACTACATGTATACAGTGCTGGCCAAAATTATAGGTCCACTAAAAAATGTTGTAACTCACTCGGTTGTCAATGGATTGACTCAGAATTCGGTTGTGCGTCTACCAGCATACATACATGTCCATACATGTATGGACATGTCCGTACATGTCCGTACATGTCCATACATGTATGGACATGTCCATACATCAGCGTCGCGCGGCCATATCTCGCTTCAGAGTGGACGAATTCTGAGTCCAAAGCCACCATTCGATTCAATATATTGGAAATAAGGGTACGATGTCTTCGATATTCCGTTTCCAGTTTTTTCAATTTGTTCTGCGGAGGTCCTTTCGCGAATATGTGAAGCCACGCCTACCCAATGTAGAGGACTTTACTAAGTACTATTCGATAATACTTTTCTTGTAGATTATTGTGCGCTAGAAATTGGGCTCAGATTTCTTTTGAGAGGAGATAGAAGCGTTGGTGAATTTTGGAAAAATCACGCGTTTTTAAATTCTACTCGCCATAACTTCCTTCGGAACAAGTATATTTTCAATCCGAAAACAGCGCCTTGCTCAGCTCATCGAATCTTCTCATATACAGCATGTCCTTGATATTTCGATTTCGGTATTCTTGAATCTTTCTGAGGACGTCTTTTTGCGAAGGTGTAAAGCAGCGAGCATTGTCCCGAGTACATTCCAGCAAGGATATTTCGATAGCACTTTTTCTGTAGATTATAATGTGCTAAATAGTAGCCGCAGTTTTCTTTTCAAAGGAAGTAGAACGGCGAGTGAATTGTGGAAAAATCTTGTCGTCCCAAATTCTACTCGCCATATCCGCAGAATACGAAGCTATCTTGCTAAGCAGATGTGAGTTTCGAAATCAGCAGGTCGCATAACCTCTACGAGCAAGTTTTCCGATATGTTCGGGTCATTCCATTTTTTCTCGTTTTACGCTCCGCAAGCTCGCCGATGGATTTTGGTCAAAATGTTGATGCTCTTGAATTGTAGGGAAACTTCGCTTATAAAAGTTTTCGAACACGCTCTTTACGAAAGTTGTAGTCTTTGAGGATTACAGGGTCTTTTTGGAGAGATACGGTGAGGTGACTGTAACTGCACCACGAAAGTGCGTGATTTTGGCCGCACTTCTCGCGTATCTGTCAGAAACCTTGCCTGCTTGCTTTTCTCAGTCAAAGTTACTAGGAATTGTGCTATCGAATGGTGCATTACTCATGCTCCAGTCTGTGAAATTCGCCGAGTTACGAGCCTACGAAAACACGTTTTCATGAATTTCGCCCAAAGTGTGAAGATCGCATATCTCGTCGAAATTCCTCCGTGAGCGCTTGTACAACGCGCTGATCAAATCCTTTCACATTTTTCTTTATTTATTTATTTATTCTATACGCTCTTGGGGTTCCATACAATAGAATAGAAAGCAGTCATTTATACTCTAACCGCAACGATAGTGCATCATTAGTTTAGGTCTAATCTTGATAAAAATGTGATGAAAGGTTGTATTTGACTGCTCTATGATTATATTTATCGGAATTAAATGATGCGATTCATGGAGATGTACCCATGCCCCCTTTTGCCAGCAAAATATTTTTTTAAGCATTTTTCTGTATTTATTTATTTATTCTATACGCTCTTGGGGTTCCATACAATAGAATAGAAAGCAGTCATTTATACTCTAACCGCAACGATAGTGCATCATTAGTTTAGGTCTAATCTTGATAAAAATGTGATGAAAGCTTGTATTTGACTGCTCTATGATTATATTTATTGGAATTAAATGATGCGATTCATGGAGATGTACCCATGCCCCCTTTTGCCAGCAAAATATTTTGATTTTAACAAGCAAACAAGGTTTGATGGTGGGTATATTATCTGATCCCACCAAACCAGTAAACCAGTGTGAGCCAGTAACTCCAAGTGAATTTCAATAAGGGTTGTAATGATGGATAACTCATACGTGAGCGTAATCAAGTTAGGTTATTGTAATCTAT